CTGTGTAAGTACACTGGAAATCGGGAACAAATTTATGTGGTTCTTAAACTTCAGTTATGCAATCTAAACAAAATTAAAGCATCAAAATTAATGAAGTTTACCATATACCGCTTTACCTGGTATTACTCATCTGTTTAGAGGGGACAGTGCAACACCATCTACCTTTTCTCACATTCTCTAAAGTTAGTTTCTTGGGCAATTATGTCCAGTAAGGCCCACCTTCACTCTGTCCCTACATTTTGATATTTAAGACATCCCCATAGCAATCAATCCCATTTTGTATTTCATATAATTGCTTAGAAAAGTATTTTTTATGCAATTATAAACTATGGTAATCTTTGTGAATCAAGACTTTGAAAGTACTTCTTAAAAAAAATGGACGTATTCTGGTTATTTTACTCATCCCAACCCAAACTTTCTAAGTCCAAGCAAATTTAATCAGTACTGTAATGTGAACTAGAGGGAGCATGAGTTTCATGTAAAACAATCAAAACCACAAAAAAATGCTGATATTTTGACCACTGAGGTGTTTCCTGCCTGTTCTGTAAAAACAAACAAAATTACACTAAGTTCATCAGATTCCACAGTGCAAACAACAGCAGCTAACCTGACATTTTCTTGTTCCATCTCTTTCTCATTTAGCATGAGATACTCCCAGAAGCAAGGGGACTGCAGCGGGATTATTTAAAAGGATTTTTTTTTCTTTCTTTTTTTGGGGGGGCTTCATTACAGAACATAACCAATAAGTGCCTTAATTTTGCACTAATGTCAACAATATATCACATAAAGAATTCTTACCTTTTTGATAATAGTCATCACTGCTGAAAATACAGATTTTATTGATTCCTCAATCTCAAGAGCATTCAAGCACAGAAGTATCTGATATATCCAACCTCCTTTTGGTTTGTTCATAAGGGAAAAAAAAAAAGGTTTACATTACAACTGTCAATATAATTCCAACTTTAAAAAAAAAATCGCAAATTTATTTTCCTTAAAATTAAGAAACTTAACACTTACCATTACTTGGAACATAGTTCTGGATGGCATCTGAGAAAGGCTTTTTGACATCAAATGGAAAGTCAGCTACTGAACTGTCCAGTTTTTCTTCAGAATTTACTGAAGGAATCACTATTGCTTTAGAATGTTGGTCACTGTTGTATTCACAATCTACAGCTGCATTCATTTCATGTTCCTTCTCTGGTGTTTCTTCTAATAGCTTTCTTCTACTGCCTACTGCAAATGGTTGTGAAGGGAAATCATGCTTATTTTCAGAGGATTCAACTTACACACACACACACACTTTTATAAGATATTAACCTCTACAGAGATTGATTTTTTTTTAAAGTTATTTTCCTCAGCTTAAAGCCAAACACTAGAGTGCTACATTAGAGTAAAAACATGCTACAGATTTATGATTTAAGAAATACTGGTTTGAATAATGGTCTTAGAACAGAGTTTAGAGGATAGAACTTTAAGCAAAGTTGGTGTTGTAGTAAAGTAGTTAAAAATCAACGTTCAGGAAAAAAAAAAAGCTTGTTTTTGATAGCTAACCTATAGATTACCTGTTCAGGATTAGTAAGTCTCTTTCTTACATCATATCCAAATAGAAGTGGGAAAAGCTTTATGAAAAGAACAATTAAAAATGCCATGTAGGATTAAAGATTAACAGCTTCCCACAAGATAAACTTTACTGTGAAATACGAGAAACTACAGGCATGTTCAGGCAGAAGTGTGACTGCAGGCACCTAGCTGCTTCAGTTTCAGTGACTTGGAGTAAGTTTCCTGAAGCAAATAAAATATCGCTTTCAAAAAACCCCACACCTTGCTTACCCATGTCAGGAAAAAAAAAAATTTACAAATCGATTCATTTTTAATTCTATGCTTCAAGCCACTACTAGCCAAAGATACCCATCCCAAATAGTCCAATAGTCAAAAGTCAGGAAGAGTAACTGTCTCTTAAACTGTCACCATTATATTAACTCAATCTGTATTATCAGATCCTCAAAATATCATAAATCAGTCATTAACTACTATGAGTCAGGCTCGCTACCTCTTGATTTTAAATCACCAGAAGGAGACAGTGTTGTATCTGTTGGCTTTTTTTCCTCAGACAATGCATATTTTGTTCTTGCCAAATCACTGTTAGTGAAGCATTAGTCCAGTACCTTTAGCTGCAGTTTGGGCTGCACACTTAATTGTTATAGCAGACAAAAGCTCTGGTAGCCCTAGAAGAACATTCCTTTTTTTCCATACATTTTTCCTGCCCAGTGTCCAAATTGTGCCCTTTTTGTACAGACACAATCACTTGTTTCCTCTGCATAACATTGTCTTCACATGAGTAAGCTGTGATTTCATGATGAATCTTTTCAAATTGCTGGTGCAGCTGCATCAGTTTGTTACCCTCACAGAGATGCTCTAAGCAGTGCTTAACATCTTGTTTTAACTTTAAGTGAAATTGTTGGAATGTCATCAATGGCTTTGGTAAATCTGAGTGTTTATCATACAATATTTGCTTGGTTTGGGGGACATGAACTCTGCCCTACTATAATTTTGTTTTCATTGGATTCTGCAGCAGGATTGTTCCCAAAATGCCAAGCTGTCCTTCCTCAAATTTTTCTTGCATGACTTCTAAATTGATTTAATAATTTACTGCACCTTCTGCAGATTTAGTAGTATCTTTTTCTTGTTCAGATTCCTGCACAGAAGAATGAGATGGAGTTAAGAATTAATTCTACTTGTCCTAGCGTCATCCCTATTTTCAGTTGTTTGTTTTGGGTTTTTTTTTGTTGGGTTTGGGTTTTTTTGACAAAACATGTATCCTCAGACTTTTTGTCTACAGACTTAATTGTTAGTTTTACTAAATATATTTGCAAAGAACTCTGATAGTATAGTAAAAATACTACCTGGAACCCTTTCTGTGAGAATATAATTTTTGTTATTTATATTTCTGGACTTTGACCCTCTCTGATTTTCAGATTCTTTTTTTCTTTCCCTCTCCTATCTTGTTTTAGTAGCAGCAATTAATTTTTTAGTATTATCCATTCTTTCAGTTAGAGCAGTATCTTCTTTTTCAACATGCTTTATCAGCCCAGGTTTCTGAGCGATCCCAGGTTGCCAGAATTTAATCAATCTGGTTTTTTTAATAGCAGTCTGGCTTTCTAGTTGGAGGGGTTTAGGAGACTAACCGTAATGCTATTTTTTTTAAAAATGTCTTCTATTTTAGAGGGCTGCTAGCATAAAAGTTCCCATTCAGACAGACTAGTATCATGTGACTGTTCCTTTTATTGTCACTAAATCTTCCTTATAAATTTTTTTTTTTTACTTTGATTCAGCTGAAGACTTCGGCATTACTGTGCCTTTTGAAGTAGTGTTTGATGATGCCTTCCAAAACTCAGATTCATTTTCTATGTTTTTGTATCTTGCACTGTCAAAATGGCTTGAATTGATGGCCCTAAAGCTGGTGATACAGAATAATCTTTTCTTTGACTGTATCACACGTGACTCATGTTTCTTTCTAAAATCTGAAGCTACTAGATGAGGGGTGAGGAGAGAAAGGTTGGTCTGGAGTCAATTCTTGGGACTCCTCAGATTTCTGACCCTGTTCATAATTAAAAATATCCTGACTGAAATCTTTGATGCTGTTTTCATAAAAACCCAGTGGGCCGTTTTTGTTCTCTGGTTTGTGAATTTTCTCTTTTACATCGCCATCCATTTCAAACTGGCTTTTCGATGCTGAATTTTGTTCTGTATCACAGCATTCGACTGGTTTGCCTTTCTCAGATGTTTCCAGAGTAAGACTTGGCTCACATGGGGTCATCTTGATGCCCAGATGAACATCTGCAGTTCCTGGTAGTTCCCCATAGCTTGGTAATTCGCTATCGGTAAATCTGAATTTACAGATTCTTGAATACAAGCATTCAGGTTATTTTGTTCTTTTTGGACTGCTTCAACCATGTCCATTTTTTATTTTTCCTGCAGATGAGTTCCAATTTCCACTGTGTTTTCAAAATTTAATTTTGAAGGTAAATGTAGAGAATCTTTGGAGACAGGGTCACTATAATAAACTTTTATATTGGTGTTTTCCTGACTTTTGCTACTCTTAGAAACATGTTCTTCAGCACTGGAATAACTAAACAAGGGCACATACTGTCTTTGAGATACTTCAGGTTGTACTAGTGTTTTGAAAGATAAAATTTGTGAAGTATCACTGTCGCCAACTGATTTGACAAAATGTTTTCCTTTTTCATTACTGCGTTCATTATTTTGCACAGCTAGTGAGGAAAACAGATCACTTCCATGGATTGCGCCCTCATCTTTTTCAGACAGCTTCTCACTAACTATCTGATTTGCCTGTACTTTCATTGCTCTGTTATTATTTCCTTGTAATATTTCGTTATCATTTTCAGTTTGAGAGGTTTCTTCACTAAAACCCACACCATCTTGCAAACTCTGCACTTGGTCCTCTTTGGGTGTTGAACTCCAAAACTTCAGTATGTCTGCAAAATGACTAAAAGCGAAGAAACGGCTCTGTTCTTCAGATACATCAGGCTTTTCTTTGTTTTTTGTGTCTGAGGGGTCACAATTCTGAGGTGGGGTAGGAGAAGAAATAATCTGATGTGATGCAATTAATTCATGTCCCTGTTGATTATCATATGTGTCCATATTATAATCAATAAAGCTATTATAAATATTTGAATACCAACCTGACTGGCCATGTTTGTTTTCTGACTCCTGATTTCCCTTCTTAGCTTCAGTGTTTTTCAGCAGCAGGCTTTCTGATACTGAGTCTTGTTCTGAACTGTAAGGTTCAGTTGGTTTCTCTTTGTCACCTGGTAGTATATCAAATGATGATTCTGTGCTATTTGAGGTGCATTTGGTGTCATTAAGAGTATGCACACTTGCTGGTATCTCCCCAGGATTTCTCATGTTACTGATTGAATCTATTATTTCTTGTGCATAATTCTCATCTTCTTCATCTGTCACTGCTTGAACTGTCTCCTTTGGTTCTTTGTCCATGTGTGATTCTTTCTGCTCTAAAGTCTGCACTTCTTCATTCTTATTTGCTTCATCCTCTGTTTCTCTGCTTTGCTGGTCTTCCATAGCAATTGTATCTTTCTCAGCATGACCAAAATTAAGAACATTACTTAAACCCAAATTAAACCAATTTGATGTGGATTCTTGGCTTTCACTCTTTTCTTCTTCTGTCTGTAACTCTGTGGCCACTGTTTCCTGTTCGTTACTGGAATGTCCAAGTGTACCAGAAACATCATGGATTTGGGGATCATTTTTTTCTGATGCAAAACCAACATCCACATTCTCTTCACCAAGATACAGAAAGCTCATCAGCCCACCTTGAAACCAAACAGATGCTGGGGGTTCTTGTTCCACCTTATCATCTGGCTCCTCTAAGTCATTTTCAGCAGTTACAGCTATTTTTCTGCCTCGGTATGTATTTTCTTCTAAAGATTCAGTAATGCCTTTTAAGGGCTCTTCATCGTTTTTACTTCCTGTGGTGAACCATCCTGCAATCCAACTAGACTGAACTGGAGTGGGTTCTAGTGGGAGACTGTTTTGCATTTCTGGCTCTTCAGTATCATCTTTGCTGTTGTCATTTTTTCTATCCAACTTTTTGCTTGCAAATTCCTCCGGAGTGTGAGATTCCTTGGAATCATTTTCGGAAACTGATTCCACTCTTTCTTCCTTTTGCATGGAGTCTCTTGCATGTTTTAAGAGTTCGTTTTCATGCAACTTTGATTCTGCATCAGATGATGAATATTCACTTTCTTTGTTGTGATCATGTAATGCGCTATCTTCGTTTTCAAAAGTGTACTTATCTCCATGAAGGCAAAGGAAATCAGTTTCCTAAAAGAACAATATTAAGATGTTGTCACATGTAATTTTCTACAGCACTGTATAGCAGCAATACTCTCTTTCTTTCTGTGTAATTATGCATGTGATAACTTTACAAAAAGGACTGTAAGTAATTATATTATTCCTAATGGTTCTGTATCATTTATTAGGTAGAAATATGCAAATGGAGCAATAATTAAAAAAAAGCCAAACATGTTTTGAATTATCTGAAATAAAATATGCAGTGACACTTGCATTTCTAACTGGATATTAGATCTTCAATTGCTGTAGACTACATTGGAAAATCTGGTGATGTTGGCTTACCTTAGTGAGCACTTCAACTTCTTTTGCAATAAAAACTTCCTCAACCTTCACAGCATCTCTTGGGAAATATCCAAAATCCTTTCCTTTCTATTAAAAATATAAAAGGAATGAGAGCATTTAAACTTCAGTGAGAAGTACGTTAGGCACTTGTATATATGCTAGAAAAGTATGAATAAACAAATCCTAAGTTTATAGGACTGCCTCCTGCCCCCTTCATTTTGTTTGGTCAAAAGATTGGTTTATTTTTTTCCTTCACAAAAGCGTTCCATTTGCCATTTCAGAAAGCAAGGGGAAGTATATTACTCCATACTATTAATTTCTGTATTATTTTTATGAATGTGTTTTTTGTGCGGAACCAAACAAGTAGCCTTAACACTGCTTCACCTGAAGATAGTGTTGTGTGCACAGATGGTCTCAGCCAGCTCCTACTAAAATCGGCTGCAAATTTCCCATTGACTCAAGTGGGAGAAAAATTAATAACTAATGACCCACAATAAGTTACAAGAAAAGTAGGATATGAAATTCAAGTACGAGGCCAGCTGCCAGCTGAAGAGAAAATGGCAATGAAGATGGCAACACTACAGAAAAGAAGTTGATAGCGCCCAAAAGAATCAAGTAAGGGTCAGTCTGATGAAGAAACCAATTACTAGCTTTATGTCACACCATCGCACGTAGCCTTTAATGGGGGAATACATCTTGGAAAGAAAGGAAGAGTGAGGTACCTGCAAAGATACTCTCGAATGAAAGAAAGGAAGACAGAATTTCACTGTTAAACAATAAATGTGACAGATGATTTACCAAAAAGTTTACCAGTATCTTCTGGTTTCAAAGCACTTAAACAGTGTTACTAGCAGTTGGATTTGGATCAATGCATCTATTCCTTCTTTGCTACAAAACAACTACATGGCTGTTCTAACTACATTGTCAATTGTTCCAAACCATTAAATATACCTGATAACTTCGCTGGGAACTTTCCTCGAGCACTGAACTGTGAAGTCAGGTCCCAATACCGGATCGCTGATTAAGCAACTGTAAAACCTTCTTACCCACAGACCTGAAGGTTAGGTACCTGATGTGATAGACCTGAATGTTTTTAAGGGAACCAGATGAAATCATTATAGCCAAATGATGAGATGAAGGACACAGAAAACTTGGATTCTGATCTTGACTTTGTTTCTCCATGAGTGATCTTTGCCAAGATTTGATTTTCCCTTTCTATATAAAGATAATAACAATGACCCATCTATCAAATACTATATTGATCCATGACTGGTTCATATTACAAAAAGAGATGGAAGATCTCTAGAAGCAAGCAGACTGCAGTTGTTACGCTACCATTATACTATCTAAATTATTTATGGGGAGATTCTTTCAGATTGAAGTACTTACACTTCCTGTCCACAAATTTTCATTTTTCCTTGAAAGTTTGGAGTATACCATTATCTCTTCCCCTGTTTTGAAGTTAAGATACCGGCAATCAGGCCCTGAGTAGTCTGTAGTGGCTTGAACTCTGCTCATTGCTGCTGGAATAGTATGTAGAAAGAAAGAAACAAGTAAGTATCATCACAGCCATTTTGGCTGAAGTCAGATAGGTTACTGAAGAAGTCTGAGATATATATAACACATTAAAATGATTGTTAACACATCAGTATGTGCTTTGTTGATACTAATCCATTCGTATCAAGTGGAAAGCAAGTAATGCAAAAAGCAGCTCTATCTTGTTTTCTTTCCTATTTACTACAGACATCAAGGAGGAAAGCTCTTGTCCTACATGGGTATTTTCCAGTCCTTATTCAGCCAAGCTTTCAATGCTGAAATGCATGGGGAGAATTAGCAAGTTCAACTACTAGAAGCCAGATCTAAACAGCTAAAAAATACTTCCCAGGCATATTTATAATTGTGTATTTTAGAAATTCTAAGTTAAATCTAATAATTACTTCAGGGATTTTGTCTTCTATTTTGAATACTTTTATATTATGAAGAAAACAGGTAAGTTTAAGCAATATAAACCTTAAACACATTGTCGAAACCAAAGTTCCAGTTCAATTTGAATGACTTTAAATTCTGTTTTGTTTCCACCCCTGTCTCCCCACAGAAATCACGATTGATGTGCTCTGGCCAGTTTGAAGCCCATTCCACATGCTGTTCCACAAAGACAGACATCCCTGAGCATCCAGAACCCATTGAAGTCAGCATGGCTCCACAGGAAAATAAAGATCCATCAGCAGAGGAAATCTAAAGTATCTCTCTTCCACTTCAGAACAAGCTATCCACATTGAAAGTGCAACAATTAAGGCTGCCAAACCAATGGAGATGGCTTAGAAAGAGCTCCAACTACACATGTTTATGACAGGTTTCACAATGGCAATCAATGGGTAATAAATGGGGCATTATTTATCGCTGCCCACTTGTGATTCAGTGGCTCTGCCTCCTGCAGAGCTATTTACTCCCCAGGAACTCCATAATTAGTTACTGCTCTTACTTCTTATTAAAGAAGAAAAAAATAAGTAAAGAGGATATATTAACAATGTCTTTTATAAGAAGGATTACTAAAAACCAAAACCAAACAGTTCACTTACAGTAGAAGAAATATAGAGTTTTGCCAAATGGGCTGTGAATGTACTATAATCACAAGATATATAGTCACCTTTCTCAGTTTATAGCCTACCATTTTTGGGTTTTTTAAATTTATCTTCTACCTGTAAAGAGTTAATTAAAAAATACTTTAAAGCTGCTTTATACTGTCCATTTTGAGGAAACCTGAGAAAAACGAGCTATTCAAGAGTATTTTTGCTGAACTTTGATCTTAAAATACTTACACAATGCAATCCAGCAAGTATTTTTTTCTTTTTGTTTGAAAAGTTTAAGCCTATTGCTCGTAAACTTAGTATATTGAAACAAAAGTTTTCTATGACTACTCATTTTCAGCCTGTTTCATTGCTAATTTTGACATTATGGTTCATAACAGCCACACATACACCATAGGCGCCTTTTGAAAAAAAAAACAAAACCAAACAAACATCAAACTTGTACTTACTCTCACATTCCTGATCACCACATTTCTTCCATTCTGAAAGTACCTTTGTACTCTGCAGCCTTGTTAAAAATGAAATTACTAATAGCAAAATTCTCTGATCCAAGATCCTCAACATTTTAGATTAGAATGCACTGAAACTGTAGAAACTGCATCGATGTGCGGTTAGCAAGAATATTCTACATTATTTTTTCTTAGCCTAACAAAACATTACAAATAAACTTATAATCTTATTTTCCTTCTTTCATCTGCTTAAACAGAAGTACACTATGCTAACCTGCTAACAATCTGCAAAGTCAGGTGTCCTGATTATGCACATACGTTTAATAATTAACTATGTTCGGATAGCTAGACTGATGTTTTGAATACAAAGAAACTAGTTCTGGTCACATAAAAATTTAGCCCCTGTCAGATTCTTTTGTACTGAGGTTGTGGAAGGCTGTGTTAGGGAAAATTCAACAAGAATGGTATTAGCATTTTTTCTGGATTATGAATGTGTTTTTAATATAAATCTTCCATCTGATTTTAAGACTATCAATTTTATGCTTATATTGATTTGCATAGTTGTTAATATAGCTACTGACAATTTTCTAGCTTTTTTGTTTAATAAGGTATGTTTTGTGTGCACCGATATGTGTTAGATTATTTATAGGTTGTCATTGGGAACTCAGAACAGAGATATCTTTTTTTTTCCACACACTCTTTTGGAGTTCTCTCATGCACTAAATGCTAAGTACAATCCTTTAGCATGGGGAATACATACTCATCTCCAACGTCTTTTAAAGGTGCTCGGCAGTTTCCAGGCTCTTAAGACAACTAGAAAATCCATATACTATCTCTACATCGTATATCACAGAGCAATATATCAAAGCTAAGCAAATGATATGTCCTGCTTTTTAAGGAATAGTCTCTGTTTCTTAGCAACTTATTATCCAATATAGAGTTATAAATAATGTTTTCTCAAATGCAGGTTATGCTTTGAAGGAGTAATTATGCACGGAGTTGTACACTGGTTATGAAGGGATGAAGTTGTGCTAAAGAAGAAATCCTGCAGAGAAGTTTGCATTAGATGTAAGCTTTGCTCCAAAAGCTTTGCATTGTTGTCCTGCACTTCCCTGGTCACCTGAACACAGTATGTCCAATTTACCTACAGAAAGGGCTTCGCCTTTCCTTTCCTACTCTCCTGCATGGGGCAGCCTCTTCTCTCTCCCTTCTTGATAGCGCCTCAAGAATCTGTGTTCCTTCCCATGGTGATATTTGTGGTCATATGCTTCCTAGTAGGCCTGCCCCTCCTGCAGTCCTGTGCATGACTCACACAGAATTCGCTCGGCTTTCTCTTTCCATGAACCTAAAACTGTATCCTACTTGCAGCACAGTTCTCCTCCCTCCTGCTCCACAACAGACACTGGTGCCTCAGCCTGATCTACTGAGCCAGCAAACAGTAGGTTTGGCGGTTGGGGGAGAGGGCACAGAGCGAGCCAGGGGCACGTTAACCAGCAATGTCCTGCAAACAAACAAAAAAATCACAGCAGATGACATGCCCTCCAGTTGCAATCTAACACTTTGGCCCCTTCCTTTGCCACATGACCTGGTAGTCAGGCAGACCTATCCTATGACCTAGTCCAGCTGCCTCTGCTATTAGGTAATCCACTGGAGAGCTGTCTTGTGCACCAGGGAGAATACGCTCCTGACTACCTTTGATGCACCCCCATCCCTAGCATTAATATTCCCTCACCCTCCCTCCTCTGGATCTTGTGTTCCTTAGAAGGTCAGTGATTGGGGACCTTCACTGGGGTCCTCTAGGTTTTATCTGTAGGAGGTGAAGGGGGAGAAATGGAATACCAAGGAGCTAAAGCACAACAAATGCAAAGAAACCTGGTGAGCAGAAAAGTAGGACAGGCTTCCCCCGCCCCAGATTAGGACAGATGGGTGAGAAGGAATATACAAGAAATTTATATTGGAGGGACTCTCCATATACTAAGTGTTGTACAAGATAAAAAAAGGACAAAATTTTTATCCCACCAAGATTAACAACTGGTCAAAATAGTCTTTCATAATGTCGCAACACCAACCATGGAACATGGGACAAAAACCAATAATGGACCTAGAAAGGTAACAGTCCCTTTTCAAGCCTGACAACATGGAGCTGATTCACCTAAAAATGGAAAAGCCAGGTATTCTGACACCTAAAATACAGAATTCAGCAAGTTTGTGTGGAAGGACAAATGATCAGACCCACACCTTGAGATTTGCACATTATTACTGTATTTGTCAAAATAGCTCTGAAAATGGCTCCAACTTCAATTTCATATGGATATCCAAACTAATTCTCAAGTCCTTATATGGAGATAGAATGTTGTAGCTCATCTTAGCTACTCAGTTTAATCTACATCTGCACTTTTCAAGTTATTCTGGGCACTGCTCGTTGTGTAGCTGAGTCTCAACAATCATTCTTCTCGGTTTGAAGCTGTTAAAAGGCTGATGAGCACTGCTCCAAACCTCTGTTCTCTGTTATTTGCTCCTCTAGTAACTTCAATAATAAATCATGTTTATATCAAATATTCTTTCCTTCTGGGTGTAAATCCTATACTTGCAGAAGTTATACAAGCAAAACTCCTAGTCACCTTTGAACTAAAGTCAAAGATAAAGATTCATGGAGTTTATCATAGCTGGCTTCCAAAGGACAAAGTTGAAAACTTTATAGCAGATAGAGTGAGACTTCAGCTAATTTCTGTTCTGCAGAACTGAAGCAACAAATGTGAGTACTATTACACATGCAAAGACAAACAATGCTAATGAAAGAGTAAGATCACAAGTTGGTAAAAGTTCTCCTAAGGACATTAAAGTCAACATCTATTTTATAACACCACCAGTATGTACAGCTTTGGTTATATTCTTCTGATAGCACCAAAAGGCTCCATACAGAACGTAGGGTTTCACTGTGTAGAATATTGCACTAATACATGGAAGAGTATAGGCCATAGCAAAAGCACTTAAAAAATAACGTTCTCTTGACTTAAGATGTTTGCATGAAAATACAGATCAACTTTTACATGGAATCAAATGTCATGCCCAAAAGATTTGTTTTTTTTAAACAAGTATCTTTTAAAAATTAGTAAGTCAAAGGAAGAAAAGGAACATGAATTCACTTTTCCACTTGGACAAATCTAAACAGATAACAGTCATTCAGCAGCCAGATTTAAACCAACTTTTTCAGCCAGGATAACAAATAGCAAGAAAAAGCCATTATTGCTTCCCCATTACAAAAATGGTTACAAGCATGACAACTAACTGCATTTCTAGAAAATCATGGAACTTGGGACTTACATTACTTTGACTCTTGATAACACATTGCCAAGCTTTGAATGCCTCACGTTTTATCATATAATAGAGCACCGCCACCTAATAACTGCCTGAACTAGGTTTGTGGTAAAACACCAGTTTGCTGTAAAACTGAGATGAGGGGAAAAAAAAAAGTCTGAAAGAACAAAATTATATCCTCCAAAACACAGCTCTCTATATTACTCATACACCACCTCCACAGCATTTGATCCGATTGTGAATACACGTAGTCTCAGAGAAATACTTATCTGAGCAGGGAAACTCATTTTAAAGGTCTGGAACATACATAAAATGAATAGGTTTGTCCTGTTGTATCACAGCAATTGCTACAAAATCAGCAGCTGAACTTGAATCTCAAAATTATAACTAGGCCACAAGACCATTACTTTCCTGATAAACAAAAGATGCTCTAGAAATCCCTTTCCAAATTTACTGGTTTTGGAGGTTAATTTTGCTGACAGGGGGCGTTTAGTTCACTAATACTTACTTGCCACAGAAAAAAAATATTTTCAGGTTTCCTTTGAATACATACAATGAAGCTGTTCTAAGCACAGAGACATCACCTTAAGTAAAGAAGCAGGAATTTGAAGAGTTGTACTTTTTATGCCAAGTCATGTTTCAGTGTATAATTAATGAACAATCTGTATAAAATCTAGTCTGACAAGGACTCCGAGTGGAGCATCGTGGAAAAAACACATTCTTGAAGCCTTCCAGTTTATCTTTGCATGAGGACTGAAGAAAGACAGCAAGTAAATGGTATAGAGTCAATGCATTGTATAAAAGCTCTAAAAAAACCACAGAACAAATTGCCTTCTAAAGTTATACGTAAAGCTAGAAGGCACCATCTGATGGAAGTGCTCCACGAGGAAGGCATAGAGCATACATGGTATGTTGCCCACTCACATAAAAGATCTCAACTTCATTCTTAGTTTTTCCCCTCCTTTTTCATCGTTCCTTTTTTTCCACATTACTTGAGTGAAAAGAGAACAAGGCATTTTTTTTTCCTTTGATTTCTACTCACCACTATGGTGGGAAGGGAAATAAGAAAATGTTTTAATTGTTTCCTACCCCTTTGCTATGTGCACTTGATTCTCAGAACCCCCAGACTGTCACCTCAAATTCAGTCTTGAAATTGCCAGCTATTTGAAACAGTAAACTGGCAACAGAGGAAGGAAATTGCACCCATGGTCCCAGCCCTATCCACAGCTCTGAAATTGTTTCAGGGTAAGAGGATGGGAACTTGAGGGCAAACGTAACAATTGGTAAAACTACTACTGCTTTATAAAGACACAGGGCTGTATGTAACATTGTGTCAACAGTATACTACTATCTTGTACTATTCCTGTAGTGAAACATTGGTTGGAATATCTAGCTTTTAGAAAAGTTTGTTCTTACAAAGTTATCACATACTGATGCTTATGTTACATTGAGCTGCTTAGATATAGCAAGGCTAACTATTAACAGCACAGTTTAACCATGGCAGTAAGTGTCTTCTAACAAACATTAAACTACCAAATACACCACTAGCTTTGTACTCAGCAACAAAACCCCTGTATTTTCACTTTGTCAAAAATACATTGCTGCCTGTAATATAACCTGACACAATGTAATCAATCCATTCCCTAGTTCGGTTACCAGAACCCACCACATTGTTTTTATAAGCCCTGTTAATAGAAGCCACTATGAACATGGAGAGGAGCATGACTAGCAACCTACTTCTTTAGCTTTGCATAATGACTGCAGTATCAGCCATTAAAACCTGCACAGCAAATACAC